TTACATATATTTATACTTCAAAATGAAAAAAAAGCTATAATATACATACATATATATATATATATATATAGAGAGAGAGAGAGAGAGAGAGAGAGTGTCTCAAAAACATATTCATATTCTAACAGTTGATAGCTCGATTTTGAAAATAAAATGTATTTTTAAAAATATATTTTACTGATTTTTTAGAGAGAGGCAGAGAGAGGGATAGAGAGTTAGAAACATCGATGAGAGACAGTCACTGATCAGCTGTTCTTGCACACTCCCTATTGGGGATGTGCCTGCAACCAAGATACATGCCCTTGATCGGAATCGAACTTGGGACCTTTCAGTTCACAGGCTAACGCTCTATCCACTGAGCCAAACCGATCTCGGCTGAAATGTATTTTTAAAAACTGCTTTTATACTTATTCAAAGTATATACATTTTTGGGGACATCCGAAATATTTTAATTTTTCAAACTTGGTTATTCTGTGTAGGGGGGAATCATGTATTATTTATCTATTTTTATTTTCGTGGAAAGTTTCTTTGAGATGAATTAATTTTATAATCAGGAAAAAGTTGAATGTTATTTTAACATTGCAGAATGAGGTCTCATCTGGAACCTAAGCTGATGTCTACCACTGGGGTTCCAAGTTTTCTGGTCATCCTTAGCATATTGATGGGGCTAAAGTCTTTTTGCATTTGGAACTAGGAAACCTCCAAGGGGTGGAGGGATCACACTAAGCAAAGAGCAAGTCTGCCATTATGTTCAGCTCAGAAACAAAACTTAGGTTTTAGAAGGGGAGGTGTCTGACTAGGTTGTGGATTTATCTTTTTTTCAAATGTTTTTATTGATTTCAGAGAGAGGAAGGGAGAGAGAAAAAAAAATCAATGATGAGAGAGAACCATTGATTGGCTGCCTCCTGCACGCCCCCTACGATGGCTCAAGCCCCCACCCCTGGCATGTGCACTGCTGGTGAATTGAATACATCGACCTCCTGGTTCCTGGATTGATGCTCAACCACTGGGCAACACTGGCCAGGCCTGTGGATTTATCTTCTGACCATCCTTTCCCACTTACATCTCAGGGATAGAGGAGGCCTGCAAGTGAACACTGAAGACTGAAGAAATTTTTTTTCATTTTTTTATTATGGAAACTTTCAGACATCTACAAAAGTAGAGAGAATAGCATAATGAACTCTGAAATAGCCATCAAACAGCTTCAACAATTATCAACGTATTGCCAATTCTGTTTCATCTATACACTCACCCCACCCTCAGGGTATTTGGAATCAAATACCAGTAGTGTCTTTTTATCTGTAAAATTTACAGAACACTTCTTTAAAAGGATTTAAAAAAACAACACACACCCCAAAACACAACCGCGGTACCATTTACACCTACAGACCCCACCCCTCCCCAATAATTTGGGGAGATGTGTTTAATTTTAAATTCTGTAAGAATTGGGGGGAACGATCAGTCTATTTCACTGGTACCATGAAGAAGGGTATAATACTAAAATCTTTTCCCCATGTAAATGCTAATGCCAAAAAAATAAAAAAATAAAACAAATAAAAAGCCACTCTGGGGCCATTGGGAAGCTGGGGAAGACTGCTGACATAAACCCCATGGCAAAACTCCATAAAATTCCCTCTAGACATTTTTGTCCATTTCTTAAAGTTGCTTTCCTCAAAGCAGCTGGCCCAAGTCCTCTCCTTCTAAATCCCCTCTGTTCCCCACTCATAGAAGTTCCAAGTGACAAGGATTTAGCTGTCTCCGTCCTCTGCATTCTCATATGCAAAAACCAGGTGGAATGGAGGGCTAGCAGTATGTTCTGGAAAAGGGGATAAAAACTATGGCCAACCGAATCAGTAAAATAAACCTAGGCAAACGAAGAGGCCTCGTTCACTTGGAAACTGCCTACTGGATACTGCAGACTTTATTGGCTCTGGCATCAAATAATACAGTTTAATGAATTTTTCAAATGAGAAAACCTCTTTTCTTCAAAGAGATGTTACGACGACATGAAAGAAGTGGTCAGGACATTGCAAAAACATCCGATTTAGCACTTGTATATCGTTGTAAAAGTTATGTTTATAAAAGCTCACAATATTAGCTTGTGGTTGTTGCATTTACTTTTATAGTTTTTCGAGCAAGTGATGTTTTTTGGAATAAGCTTTTCAGCAAATTAGCAACAGTACAAAAACACAGAGGTCGTTACACAAAGAACCGAGTGTACAAATTGTTGTCCTAAGTGATGGGGGTCATCTTAAAACTGTGCTAGCCACTGTGTGGTGTGACATAGAAATATGAGGAATAATTCCTGTCCTTCAACATCTTACAACTGCCTCAAAAAGTTTCCCAAACACCTGATTACAGAAAAGCCATACGCATGGTGCCTGGCCAGCATATACACTCCACAAGCACCACAGTGGAAGGGGAACGTTTTGCCCTATGACATATAAATTATATCCAAGAACCTTCAGTGTCGTCAACCAGATTTCAAGTAATGTCTCAGATGCAAACTATGCGGAGAGGAAGGAACCGTGGTGGTCCTTGCTCTCAAGGATATTATAGTCTAATCGAGAAGGCAGAAACATCAAGAAAGCACAACAAAAGGCTATTGGTGCTGAATTCAGAGCATGTTCACATACACAGTACAATAACCGAGGCAGGGGAGGGCTGTCCCAAGATGGAGCAGGAAACCCAGATGCGCTGTCTCCTTGGAAACGTGGAAGTGGTCAACTGCGCTTGACGATGCCGCAGAGCTATGCTTCACATTGATGATTCTTTGAAAGCAATCCCGAAGTTCTTGCTGGTCACCTGGAAAAAGAAAACAACACACGATTAGCAGGCTTATGCTAATTGAACAATCCCTCCAAAGGACCCATTTACAAGGGACCTATCACTGCACCGCTCACTTCGCATTTGGAAAGTCCTCAGAGAGTTATCAATGCAGATGCAAGGTGGATCTGCATAAACAACTAAGGGAATTTCAGGTCACTATGTATTTTTAAAAATATATATATTTTACTGATTTTTTCCACAGAGAGGAAGGAAGAGGGACAGAGAGCCAGAAACGTCCATGAGAGAGAAACATCGACCAGCTGCCTCTTGCACACCCTCTACTGGGGATGTGCCCTCAACCAATGTACATGCCCTTGACCGGAATCGAACCCAGGACCCTTCAGTCCACAGACCGACGCTCCATCCACCTAGCCCAACCGGTTTTGGCCAGTATGAATTAATGAAACAAAAAGAAGTCAAGAAAGAAGTGATATTACTTTTGCAAAAGGGGGGTGGTCCTCTAAGACAAAAACTCCTAAATTCCATGTTCTAAACGCTAGGTTTATGAAAGTAATTCAGGCTGGTTCCCACCCAAGTTTGCCATATAGCCCTGACCAGACGGCTCAGTTGATTGGAGCACCTTTCCATATATCAAATCAAGTTTTTCATTATCCCCAATTTTACATTAAAAAAAACCACAACTGAGCCCTATCCTGTAGCTCAGCGGATAGGCCTGTAGACAGAACAATCCTGGGTTGGTTGCAGTCAAGGGCACATACGTCTGTTGCAGGCCCCTCCCTGGCCCGGGGCCCTTTTCTGGGTTGTGCAAGAGGCACCCAATCCATATGTTCTCTAATATCCATATTTCTCTGTCTTTCCTCCTCTCTTCAACTCTCTCTAAAGATCAATGGGAAAATATCCTCAGGTGGAGAATTAAATAATAATAATAACAATAATAAAATAATCATATAGCTGGGTATCAGATAGTTAAATAACTTGACTGAACTAACAGAGTGAGCAAGAACTGGAACCAGTTTTCAACCCCAGGTCTGTCTGCCTTCCAAGCCCCAGTGTAGTTTCTGCACATCCAGCTCTCCCTCATGAGACCCTCGTGTTTGACTTCACTTTCCCACTCCTCAGAGTGCTGTTTGCCCACACACAGGCGGCCTGCTAAGGGCAGCATCAACAGCTTCCCAGGACGCAGGCCCAGGGGATAAGGGTGGTTCAGGAGAGACCCAGGGATCTCAGCTGGGAGTCTGGAGGCCAAGCAAGCGTCCAGGCCAACGGGAGGGTTTTTCATTCAGCGCCCACAGGGACTGCCTGTGCCAGACACACGCTTGTTCCAAACCTCTGCGCCAGATGGCTCAGGTGTCCGTCCGCCCTGAAAGTCTGGGGCAGCTGCCCATCAGAAGGGACCGCACTCAGCTGGGTGTCCGCACCGCTCCCATGGCGGTCACCCACGGCCGGACCGCTGCCTGGACCCCGCTCCACTCACTCACATGCAGCGGCTTGCTTTCGGAGCTGCTGGCCGAGGAGGCCATGGCCCTGGCGAGGGCAGAGGCAGGGCTGGGGGCTGGGAGGGGGCCGCTGCACATCCCCTGTGCCTGGTTTCCCCGGGGGGGGGGGGCATGGCGCGCTTGGCTGGCCCCTCCCCAGAAACACCTGCTCTCTGGGCCCAAGCTGGACCGCACTGGGGCCGCGGGCCCGGCCACTGGCCGCCAGCGGCCCGAACCGCCGCGGGAGCGATGCTTGCAGACCAGACGCTGTCCCTCCGGACGAAGGCGGCTCTGAAAGGGGCGAAGGGACCCCTTTCTTCCCGGGGGGGAAGCATTGTCGCGCGCGGCAGGAGCACAAGCAGCCCAAGTTCTTGAACATCTTTTAATGCAAACGGCCCGTTAGGCCAGCGGCCGCCGCGGCGGGCCGGCTGCCCGGGGCAACACTGCGGAGGAGGACGCGGCGCGGGGAGGAGACGCGCGGGACGCCGGACGCCCGGGCGGACAGACCCCGCGCTTTGCCCAGAGCCGGGCCGGGCCCGGCCCGCACGCCCAGCCCGGCCGGCGGCGCGAAGGCACCTTCGGACGCCCCTGCGCGCCGGCCGGCGGCTGCGGCTCCGGCTCCGGCGGCGGGAGCGGGGCGGTGGGAAGCGGCGGGGGGCGCGGAGACAAAGGGCCCGGGCGCGGGGCGCGGGGCGCGGGGCGCGGGCAGGGCGCGGGCAGGGCGGCGGCGGGTACGTACTAGGGGCCGCTGCCGGGCGCCGGGCTCCCGTTGGCGGCGGGGGCGCCCAGCTTCAGAGTCTGCAGGTACTCGGCGTGCACGGGCTTGTGGCCCTGGAGGACCTTGATGGCATCGTCGACTTTGAACCACTCGCGCTTCCTGCCGATGCTCACCGCGTCCTCCCAGTCCTCCAGCACCTCGGTGACGGTGAGCACGAACACGTAGGTCCGGTGCTTGGGCGCCTGGCGCTGCTCGAAGACGCCCAGCAGCCGGCCCAGCTTGCCGCGCACGCCCGCCTCCTCATACACCTCGCGCACGGCCGCGCCGCTCGGCTCCTCCTCGGGCTCCATGCCCCCGCCCGGCACGATCCAGCGGTCCGGGTAGCGGCTGCTGCTCACCAGCAGCACCTCGTCCTCGCGCTCGCTGCGGAAGCACAGGCACGCCGCCCTCTTCTTGAAGCCCTCGGGGTCGTACGTGCGCGTCTGGTTCGGCTTGCACTTCATCCTCCAGGGTGGCGCCGCCGCCGCTCCGGCCGCCGCCGCCGCCGCTGCGAGGACGGGCGCTGCTGGGCGGACGGGGCGGGAGGGCGCGCAGGCGAGTGCGAGGCGCAGGCGGGCGACGCGCAGCCCCGAGCCCGGAGCCTGAGCCGGGGCGGGGCGGGGCGGGGCGGGGCGGGGCGGGGGCGGCGCGGACGTCAGCGCTCGGGCCGCCTCCGCGCCGGGTCCGAGCGCTCACGCTGCGTGGCCGGCGCCGCGCTCCGCTCCGCACGCAGCCCCCGCGGCTCCCGCGCGCCCCCGCCGCGCCGCGCGCCGGGTGCAGGGAGGCGAGCGGCTCCGCGTGCGCGTGCGCGTGCGCGTCCCTCCCGCGTGCGCGTCCCCGCGGGGGCCGGGCGGGGGCGGGGGTCTCGGCTCCCGCAGCGGCGCCGGGCCCAGTGCGCAGGCGCCCGCCCCTCAGCCGGGACTCGCCTTCGCGTGGGTGGGGCCCCGCGGACCGGGCGGGCGCCGGCCCTGCAGGTGCGCACCCCCTCCACCCGACAGGCACGGGCGGTGGTGCTCCCGCAGCGGAGCCAAGTGCATCCTCCCCATCGCCCAGGGGACCGCCACCTGCTCCCTGGTACCAGACAGGCCTCAGAGCCATCCCCCTCCAGCACCAGGTCTCACCTGAGCTCTGCTGAGTCATGGCGGGCAGCCCATTGCTCTGGCGGGTTCATCCCCTGCCAGCTTCTGGGCACAGCCCACAGCTGGACGGTTCCCCGTCCCCTCCCTGGTCCTGGGGTCTCCATCAGTAAGCCCCTCGTCTCCTTGCATTTGGTCACGTGCCCCAACAGGGAGCAGCGCCCCACACAGAGGTTCATGACACCCCCAGGAGCTCCAGCCTCCAGGCCCCCACCCTCCTCTCTCTCCTGGGTGAGTGCAGGAGGAGGGTTGGCAAAGGGGCCTGAGGGAACCCCTCACAGTCTACACTGTGGTTTTTAGAGGCCTCCTGGCATGGGGCTGCAGCAAGGCCACTGGGTGCTCTGGCCCTCTGTATGCCCGTCCCATCCTCTAGGCCCAGCACCCCCACACACACCCCCCACCAGCAATTCAACCACCAAAGCTTTCCCTCCCTGCTCAGTTTCTGTGTTGTTTTCCTGCTCCAGGAGCAGCAGGAGCCTCATGGAGGAGCCTCTGATGTCCCTCAGCCGTGGCCACATGGCAACTTCGTGCCTCTGTGTCTCCCCCTCACCCAGAGACACTGCTGGCACCGGGCAGGTAAGATCCTCACACCTCACGCCTCCAATGGGATAATTCCTTATTCCAGCGGAAACTGGCTGAGATGTAAATGGAAAGGACCTTGTTTCCCCGAAAATAAGACCTAGGGCAACTTTGGGAGAAAAAATTAATATAAGACACTGTCTTATTTTCCGGGAAACAGGGTAGTTATGAAACATACAGTCCAATGTTTAAACAAGTTAGTTCAGCTTCCCAGGGTCTGAGCGCCCCATTGATACCCAGAATAGCTCATAAAGTGATGCTGTTCATTGCAACACACATCGGCAATATCTGGAGCATCCAGCGATACACGGGTATGGGTGTGTATGAGGAAAATGATTAAACGGAGACAAAGAGAATGACTTCCACCAACAAAGACACACCCGGTGCTGACCACGTTTTAGTGATCTACAGGTGAGCAGGAACAGATGTAGGAATGAAACACCGTGATTAGAAACAAATGAGGAAAACAGGTTTTAGCAGGCTGTCTCCCTCAGTGTGCCCATGCTCACAAGTGCACACGTGATGTGAAACCACTAGGAAAAAAAAACCCTTTACACTCAGGATCTAGGCAAACATATCTGTTATCACCAAGATCATTAATGTTGTTTTAGTGTTCTTTCCAGTGTAATGAGATTGTAAAAAAAGAGACTATGGTTTTGGTTAAGAAGGCAAAATTGTCATTATTTACAGATGATAAGGATATGTTCTTGGAAAACACCCAAGAAATGGTGTCTATATAAATTCCTTTAAACAGCAGAAACCGGTTTGGCTCAGCGGTAGAGCGTCGGTCTGCGGACTGAGGGGTCCCAGGTTCGATTCCAGTCAAGGGCATGTACATGGGTTGTGGGCACTTCCCTAGTAGGGGGTGTGCAGGAGGCAGCTGGTCGATGTTTCTCTCTCATCGACGTTTCTAGCTCTCTCTCTCTCCCTTCCTCTCTGTAAAAAAATCAATAAAATATATATTTAAAAAAATTCCTTTAAACAGGAGAATGAAATCGTAATATTTAAAATACAAGAGCTTCCCAGTGTGCCAGCAGTAACCATGTCAATTTGGAATGGGGAACCCCGGCCGGCGTGGCTCATGTGGTTGGGCATCATCCCCTGCAGTGAACCTTTGCCAGTTCAGTTCCCAGACAGGGCATGCGCCAGGGTTGCAGGCTCAATCCCGGCTAGCGTACAGGAGGCAGCTGACTGGATTGATGCCCATCTCCCTCTCCCTCTTTCTCTATAAACCAATAAAAGGATTTGTAACGTTAGAATGGGGAATAACATTCGCAGAAGCAATATCAACCACCCCGAAATAGATTTTACCATGGGATCCTAAAAATAGGGGTAGGGCATTGTAGTAGAAAATGGTAAATGTGTACTCAGCTTTGAGCGCTGATTTGAATACACCTGCAGGACCCGTAGCTAAGGCGGGAGACAGGAAGGATGTCTGGGCGGAGGAATGGTCGACCAGGCCCCAGCCACATCACGGTCTACTTTGCAATACCAGGTCCTATGTGTTGTCTCACCAGAGGGGCCGTTTTCTAGTTTTTTTTTCTGTTTCTTTCCCATCAGATTATGCCCCTGCAATATGCCTCTGCTGGGGGCACGCCTACTGGAAGGGAGAGGAACAGCAGCACTCTGATATGGAAAGAGGTGGGCTGGATTCCTACTGGCAAAGGCATGCAGAGCATGTTACTGGGTAAAAAGCCACAGCTTACAGGTTGAGCACAAGGCCCAGGAAAATTTGAAATTAGTTCTTTGTCCCCAGAATTTCTTTTTATTTATTTATTTTTATAATATTTTTTTCTTTAAATTATTATTTTTGTACATATACCAATGCTCCCTCCTCCCCCCAGAGTTTTGTGTCCATTGGTTGTACTTATATGCATATATACAAGTCCTTGGGTTGATCTCTAATCTCCCCTAAATCTCTCCAACCTCTCCGCTGTAATTTGACAGTCTGCTTGTTGCTTTACTCTCTCTATATCTATCTTTTGGTTCCTCAGTTTATAATGTTCTTTATCATCCATAAATGAGTGAGGTCATGTGGTGTCTCTGTTTCATTGACTGGCTTGTTTCACTCAGCATGATGTTCTCCAATTCCATCCAGGTTGCTGAAACGATGAGAATTTTTTCTCTTTTATGGCTGCATAATATTCCATTGTGTAAATGTACCATGGCTTTTGGATCCACTCATCTGCTGATGGCACCTAGGCTGTTTCCAAATCCTAGCTATTGTAGATTGTGCTGCTATGAACATAGGGGTGCATATATCCTTTCTGATTGATGGTCCCCAGAATTTCATAAACGAAGTCTACCACTCATCCACTAGAATGTCAGGGAAGATGGTTGTGACTTTTTCCAAAAGGGGTTACCATCATCTCTGAGAGACTAGCCTTCCACCACTCCTTCCGGCTTGTTCGGCTCATTGTTTCTCCAATGACACTCAAGGCCATTAGATGAACCGCTGTAATAGTAACATGTTACAATAAGAACTGTGATTTGAGCCTGCGTCCCCTTCCACATTGTCCTTGGCATGGGAGAGGAACTCCCTTTGTCCAGGGGACAAAGGCAAATGTGAAGCTAGCTGAGAATGAACAAGTGCTTGCCCTCCTCACTCCTCAAACAGGATGACAAAACTGTGAAGAAGCTGGGCCGAGTGGGTGACCAGAGGCCCATGGCCGAGCATGCCCTTCACCCCGCTGGCTGAACCAAAGGCCAGAATGTGAGTGAGGCCGGCCGAGAGCCTGAGCCCCCGCAGAGCCAGTTAGCGGACAGGGCTCGGACCACAGGTGCATGAGGCGGCTTCTGAGAGAGAATGGCGCAAGGAGCGACCGCTGAGCCCAGCTACCATTGCTGAGCCGCAGAAATGTGGGGGCACGAATCGGCTGTTGTTTCAAGTTGCTGCATGGCAGAGGGGCTGTTTGTTATACATCAAAGCTAGCTGATACAGCTGTTCACTGCCACCCATCCAGATCCAGCAGGAATAAAGAGAGGGAACATCTTTAGAGTAAAAAGGTTGACATGGGACTCTCCCTGGAGTCCGAAGGAGAAGGGATGACGCTAAGACAGGAATAGTTGTCTGAATAGTCTTTGTGCCGGCCCCATGTTGAGCACTGTGTCCTGTTTAACTGACAGGCAATTGAGTCTTAACGAGGCTGTTATTATTTGCATCTCATCGCAGAGATGGCTTAGAGTTTGCAGTTCAGTGCGTCTTCATGCCTCTCGGCCTGTGCAGTCACAATATCACCAGTCTTGTCAACAGAAGTATTTGCATCGAGAGCTATGTTTTGTGTGACATTCTTTGATGACAGTCGAGTTGAGTACTTGGGTAAGGTGTTCATTTGTTCAGAGCCACTGAGTTCAAAGAAAGTTATTTTCCCATGTGGACGTTCTGCTCTTGCACAATATAGTGGAAGGAACGCCCGAATGCCTCTCCCTCTCAGCAGTCATGTGTGTCATCTTGAGATGTTACTTAACAGCTCCAGGTTCAGTTCCCGCTGTGAGCATGAAGTGGAGAGTGATACAAAAAAGAAGATACTCTATTTGCCACGACTCCCAGCACTGATCGTAATTTATTGACGTCTACATCATTTTATGCACTAAATATGTCTTTAGCCACAAACTGGGATAATGAGTATCAGGACCCCCCTGAAGCAGATTAAGAAACAGGCTGAGATGGGGTAAGTCAGTAAGGCAGTAAGTGATGGAGCTGAGATGGTCACCGTGGTTTGCCTGACCCCACAACCATCCTCTCCCAT